AGAGAGAGAGAGAGAGAGAGAGAGAGAGAGAGAGAAGAAATAGTTTGAAACATTTGCCTCATGTCTAATGCATTCCTCTTTTGGCCGTAATATGTGTTCTCATTATTCAACAGACAATATATCGGAAACACGTGCCGAACATCACATCCACTCCTGTATTAGACATGGAGTCATCCAAACCATAGACTCAATACCACTGAATGACTGAACAGTATATTCAGTCCACTATTGATATAATTTTTTTGCTGAATTCTAGACAGAAGTTCAATGAAATGAAGCAAAAAAGTGCATTCATATCACTTTTGCTACAACTCTTCACTAATGAAACAAAAACTAGTGATCAAACAATTTAAACGAATCGATACTTAAAATTCTTCAATCAATCAATTCATCCTTAAATGTAAAGACTATATAAAAATGTTTAAAATAATTACAATTAGTAAAGGTTTTGTATATATGTATTGTAAACAAAATTGAAGTCAATTATTACCATTATTAATTTGGTTAATAAAACAATTGTTGTTAAAATGTAACAAAATTAGTTTAAATGATAGAAAAAATTAAATAAAAACAAAATATTAAATTTAATTGACAGCACATTATGAACGCATCACATGTTTAAACCAAAAATTACTATAAATTACACAAAAATAGTTTAATTAAAATATTTTTTATATNCTATGGGGAAAAAATTAATATGTTTTAAAAACAACAATTAAACAGTTTTAATGCATTTATCTTATTAACTATACATGATATATAGTTTTAATTAATAATTGTATCACATAGAACGGTTGATTCAATTGCTTTTTCAAACAATTTTCAGGTGTTTTGACGTGTTTACAATATTTTACCAATAGGTGGCGCTGTACAACTTTTGTATTATTTGTATTATGCTTTGTATTATACACTGTATAATACAAGGAATAATACAATTGTATAATACAAATTTTGTATATTGCCAACCCTAGTATTGACTGACTCTATGGCCATAACTGTAGTGTTATTTTCATTTATTAACTCAATTCTTCAAATGGCTTTCAATTTAATGAAACTCTTTTCCATTACTTCTCCAGACTTTATAACGTCTACTGTATTAACAAATCAAAGATTTTCCTCAAAGCAAACAAAACACACAAATAATGCAATGAAAAAGTTGTGCAAACAGTTTGGCTATTAATAAATTATTTCCAGAATATTGTTGTTATTATAATTAGCTATTTATTGGCAAAACAAACAATAGATTGAAAATAACTTCAGACCATAAATAATAATCAATTCAATACATGAGAACTCATAGCAAATACATAATGTATAAAATAAAGTCCTTATATAATAGTGTTTGAGATTTACTACTCGTCTAAATGGTGTCCCAAATCAACGCACGTATTGTCCATAATATCGACGGATTTTATTCTCCGACTATTTTTTCTTTGGGATAAAATACGAGATTTCATTTGTGATGAATTGTGGCACTAATGCCCTCGTCTTCATAACACTATGTCTATCAGTACTGACCACTCATTCATCCAACAAATTGCCACAAAAATTCTCATAATTTTCTCTTCAATTCCCTGAAGTTTATTGAAAATGGATTTTGGTTTTTGTTAAGAAATTGTAGAATTGAAGTCATAATAATAATGCATTAGTTTACAGGTAACTACAGTATGACACGGCTATAAAAAACTCGGTTATAAAAGCAACCTGGTTATAAAGAACAGAATAAATTTTTGGAAAGGGCATTATAAGGAAATGTTGCAGTATTGTACCAATCATGTTTTTTATAATATAGATAATAATATTTATTTAGCAATGAATGCATTGATTTACACAACAAGTTGTAGTCATTTAAAACTCGTTATACAAACACATTATACAAATTTTTACAGAATTTTTGAAAACAATTTCCATTATAAGCAGTTATGCATTTTATTGATTCAATGATTGTTTTCATACACTGTATGTAAAATTAATTAAATAATGCTTTTGTTTTATAATTGATAAATATACTGTATAAATACTTTAATATAAAATAACTATTAAATTTAAATATCGTATAACCGGATGTTATCGAATATTTTACAAATACAATGAATTAATACACATTAATTTCAATACAAGTAGTCAGAGCGACAACAATCAGTGTTATATAACATGATAATCAAGTAATGCGTGGCAACTCTTATCATCACTCAATAAATTAGTCGACATTAGAGTCATAATTTGCGGTACAATTAATGTATAACTTATTTTAAATAAAATTTATAATTTAAGATTGTGTTCATTGAAATCGATTCGAAACTATGGGCAATTCTATTGGTAATGTTAAGTCTATGACTAATTTTAATTCTAAAAGTTTTAATGTAAAGGCTAGTTGTAAAGATAGTTGTATCAAAACAAATTAAATTACAATATAATTATATTAATAAATAATATAATCATTTTTAGCAGCAAAAATAATGTACCATGATTCTCGTTGTGACGCTCCCATTGAAGTGGTGATACCGGCGAGTGTTAAAACAATAAGAAATCTTAAATTATTTTTAGGGGCAAATAATTTGATAAATAACAACACGGATTCATTGCTCATCAAAGAGTCGGGAAAATTGACCTGCTATTTAGATGATAAGTCACTGAGCGAGTTGGCTCAGCAAAGTATTATCTACATTTGTCCCACAGCCAAATCATCAAGGTGCGTATTTTTAACGTTTTGTTTAATATTTAATTTATAAAATATTTAAATATAGTGTAACCCAAGAGTTGGAGCAAAAGATCACTCAATTGATTGAAGAGGTGTCGGCACTAAAGGCGAAGGAGTAGTGTAAGAAAGCTTACTTCACTTACATTTCAATTTTGAATTACAAATACTGTATATACAATTAATTCTGATTTGAAATTTATGTTATAAATTATGTAGTTTAGATAATTAACAATTTATCTATCATTTTAAAAGTCTATTTATCATTAAAAGTCTAGATATCTATTATTTACTACAATATATTAAATTAAAATGTTTTTAAAATCTATTGTTTTATTTTCAATGCAATTGACAAACAATTTGAGTGAAAGTGTAATCCATTTTAAAACAAGTAATGAATGACAGAAAACATTACAATAGACTTGTTTTTCAACTTCTAATTGAATTCAGACTATTGTTTGCTATTTATTGAAAAATTTGCTGTAAATTCAATACAATAGAGTGTATAATAAATTGTGTTTCTATTCCGACATTCAAAACACAATTTCAATGAAACACTTGTGTAGAAATTCTCACA